TTATTAACGCAGAACCAGTAGTAAGTGTGGAGATTGCGCATTACTGTAACCATTAGGTAACGCGAGATACGGCTGATACTTGCGCATTAGTTTCTGTTATGGATCAGTATCAACAGTCCTGCCAGTAACGTTACTGTATTATGAATGCTACTTTAGTTATAGCCTGATATATGATAGCTAACTTTACAATGTTGTGATGTGACGTTAGCTAACATTCTGTAGCTAACGCCGGTCACTCACCAAGATAGCTGCCCAGTTCTCCACTGGTTCTCCTCACACCACAGCTCAATTTCTCTCCGATGGCCGTTATTTCTTCTAATCCTTGGCTGCTCCTGGTCTCTTGGACGCCTAGCAGGCTCATAATTATAAGGTTGTGGTCCGTCATATGCATTCGAATATTCATGTTCAACTTCTTCTGTGTCGAAACTAGCATTGGGATCCATGTTTATTAATACATTACACCGGCCGCTCTCCCCCTTGTGTCCCCCGTGTTACGTCACACGCGGGAGGTCACGTGCCGAGGCTTTTTTTATGTGGAAGTGAACATTTCTTACAAAAACGACGCCAGATGTCACTGTAGTGTATATTTCTGTATATGTTTTTGAAAATCTAGTGTATTCATCATTTTCATACACATTTATTCATAGGTGTCTTTAACCTGGAAGTTGCTCTTTAAGCACAAGGGCTAAACAAAAAAAAGGAGTGTGCTGGTGAGGTGGCTGCCAAATGTTCCCACAATCCCTTGCACTGAAACACGAATAGCCAGAAAATGTCCCATTGTATTGAAATACCATTGGACCGCTGCCCTTTACTCTGAAAGTGAAAAGAAACACCCATTTCTCAGAAACTAGGTGGTGTCCCTGCAACAAACAGAAGCAAAAGGCTAACCGTAACCCACCATGCTCTGCATCTGATTGGTTAGTAGTAGTATCTGCCTTAGAACATTCTGGTGGGTGGGTTTATGTTAATTGCCAAAGAGAGATTGGTGAGGGTTAGGATATCAGATTCTATATGGTGGAAAACAGTTTAGCAGAAAGGCAGTAATTGCCATCTTATGCTTTAATGGAATTAGTTTTTTGATATAAAATTAAGACCCAGCAAAACATTAAATCCGCCGTGAAAAATGGAATGTAAAAATAGAAATTAAGTTTTTTATATAAAAAGCAGAGGGAGTATGCTTATTTGTAGACACTGTTTCTTTTTTTTTACCAACTCATTTTTTCAAGAATTCAACATTTTGTAATAACTGGTCTGTGCTTTTGTAAAAAAAACATATTATTAATATTGCATTAGAGAGACAACAGGAGAAGACGCCACCTTGCAAAGCTAGTAGACTTCTTTATGAAAATGTTAGGTCTAATTGCCTCTCTTTTAAACTTCAGGTCATTAATCTGCTTAAAAATCTGAGGGTTAGACTAGGTTTCTTTTTCAGATACAAGTCCTGTTTCTCGCTTGAGGCCAGGAAAAGGCTCTGTGACCTTTTTACCTGTGCTGGAATATGGTGATCTGATCTATATGAATGCACCTGCCCATTACCTGATCAAGTTAGATGCTGCCCATCACAGTGCGCTGAGATTTGTAACTAACTGTAAAGTATTAACTCATCACTGTACCCTGTATGCCAGAGCAGGTTTGCCTTAACTAACTGTACAGAGGCTCAGTCACTGGTACAAAGCCATGTTAGGTAAACTACCATCTTACATCTGTTCTCTTATTACACGGCAAATTGAAAGTAGCCATTGCCTGAGATCTCATGCTGTGGTTTTGTTAAATGTACCAAGTGCTAGGACTGACTTAGAGACGAAAGCTTTTATGTGCGCAGCTCCTCTAACTTGGAACAGTCTGCAAAAAAAATGGAAACTGAGCAATTTGGTTCCACTACATGTTTTTAAAGCACGGATAGATGCTATGCAATCTGATACTGTTGGTACATGTAAATGTCGATTGGTATGTACATTGTAAATCCCTGTATCTATGTTGTATGATGCCTTTTTTGTTTTTCTGTTGCTTTCTGTTTTTATGTCTTCATGTGGAACCTACTTGCAGCAGGTCTCCCTTGAAAAAGAGATCGATGATCTCAATGGGATTCACTTGGTTAAATAAAGGTTTGAAATGAACACTCGGATCAGTGAGGCTTTTAAAATAAACTGCAATTACATAACCTACCTTCCAACCTCTGCTAAAGCAGAAATCATAACAAACGCTGTGCTCCCTTAACAAAACTGTATGTTGTTTTCAATGAAAATGAAAACAGTCCCCTCGTATGAATGACGTGGAAGCAGCTTAAAGCTCTGAAACCTGATTTGTGAGAGGATACAGTGTAAAGAGCTGCTTCCCATCGGCTGGGTAGAGTGGCTTTTGATGTTCATTCAATGTTCCAATCGTTTAACAAGTGCTAGCTGGAGAGGCCCGACATGAAGGACTCTCCTGCTCTTATTGAGAGGGATGGATGAGATTTCATTACTGCCCGTCTATTTGCTACCAATCTGTTCGTGTGCATGTGTTCATGTGTGTGCTGGAACAAGCGAGAGATTTATGATTCTCCGGGAATAAAATCAAACTTTTGAAAAGCAATCATACAAGAATATTGCTTGTTGCAGCTACACTTCTCACTGGAATAACAATGTAACAGCTGGGCCACACCTGAGGGGCTACTGTAAAGCCTTTTAATTTAATTTAGCGTGTGAGTCATACAGAGTGAACATCCATAGGGAACAAACACTGTTTGATTCTACACCAAAGGGGGCAGAGCTGAGGAGCCCTGCAGGAGTTAACAGCTGCATCTGTGCACAGTCAAGGTGTGGTGAAGCTATACATAGTGTGAGTGCTTTAAAAGCTTCACTGATAACACTGGGTGATTCTGGATAAGTGTGACTTTGCCTCGCCTGTGAACTTACACTTTACCACCGCTTTGCCATTGCCTAGTCTTTATAGGAATTCAAATAGGATTTAGGATTTAATAATGGCTTTGGCTTTAATTTTCGTATCAACAGGAAATATCATCATTCTAATTTGAGCTTTATTTGTCATGTCAAAGTCTTTGATAACATATGTATCAAACAAAGTGATACACTATGCACAAAGGTTTTAATAGAACATCTTAACATTATTATGTTAATCAATGCATTTTAAATTAAAAAGGTTATTTATTTATTTTTTGCAAGAATGTCCTTTGAAAGCTCATTAAAGCGGCACTATTATTCTCCTTTTTAGGTTTCATATTGTATTGTGTGCCTCCACTGTGATAGGTCTCCATGCTTTCATGTTCAAAAAGGTCTTTACTTTGCTCATACTGACTGTGCTGCAGCACCTCTTTTCACCCTCTGTCTGAAACCAGAGCCCAGTCTGCTCTGATTGGTTAGCTGTCTGGCTGTGTTGTGATTGGTCAACCGCTTAGAGATGTCCCACACGCTACACAAAACAAACAATTGTCACAAACAATGTATTGGAGCGCTAGCCAATAGAAGTGCAAGTGTTACATAGTGATGTCACTCTTTTACGAAGTAAACATAGGAGTCTAATTGAGGCATTTCAAATAAGGCCAACACACTCCCCCCCTGGGAACTTTGGGATTTTAGCCTTTGCAGACCATTTACATACACAGAAACCTATATAACACACTACCGGAATGGGAAACCCCAGAAAAGCGTAATACGGCCTCTTTAAAAGCTGCATACAAAGTTCCTTTTGTAACAATTACACTACATCTTGGAATCCAGCCGCACTCACCTGTAGTTCTCGCACCACCCTCTTGATGAGGTAGTTGCCCAGCTCCACCCCTTGAAGGCCAGCCTGGGTGGAGGAGATGGAGTAAAAGATGGCTGCATTTATCTTATTCACGTCCTCCTCGGATTCGAGAGGGGCGAACTCGCGGACGATGCTCTAAGACATAGAAAAACATTTTTGTCAAGTCACTCATCTACAAACCCATGCTCAGTGTTTTTGTTCTACTTAGCTGCAGTCGAGGCAGGAGTGAATTATAGTCAGAGCTGTTGGAGCAAAACTGTGTGTATGGTTGCACTATTTCACACCATGGAATAGTATCAAATTGCTATGTTGTCAAACTCCCTTCTCCTCCCTCACTGTAAAGAAAGGGGAGTCAGCACCGTAGAGGGTGCTCCCAGAGGGATGTGCAGTTTAAAGGTCCTGTATTGTTTTTCACACGGCAATAATCTATTTGTCAACTGAGAGGAGGAACAAAGAAGTAAATCCCTGTTGTTTAACTATCCTCCAAGGTGTGATAAGGGAGACAAAGCGTTACAGCAGCCGGCGGTGGCTTCCAACCTGTATGTTATCGGAGATGTCTTCAGTCAGGGCCACGTGTAGCACAACCAGCGGCTCCATTGGCATGGCGGCGTGGGTGAAGGCATAACAACGGCGGCATGGCCCCACTCTGCGCTTCAGGTCACTCCAGTTCCTCACAGGGTGCACGGCCTCGTACCTTTAAAAGGGATGATATGAAAGATCATTTTTTAATTAACTGTTCGCTCTGCCCTGCCCACCTTAGTGAAGGTTCACAGGCGTGTCAATGCCCTGACACATTTGAATAATTAAGGTATTTAAAAAAAAAAAAACACTGGTTTCTTGTTTTCAGGGAGAGAAAACTTAGACAACTAGGTTAAATTAATCGCTTTTATTTTTGTCATTGTGATGTACTTTAAATCTCAATACCACTATCCAGTTAAAATCTTTAATATCCAATCATTACACCCTAGTGTGCAGTTGCTTTTAAATTGCTTAGAATATGTTGTTTAATTGAATAAAGGCAATTGTATTGGTTTGGTTTTATTGCACACTGTATAATATGGACATTGTTATAAATAATAGCTTGCTTTCAATGCTACATTGAAAAATAATAATACAAATAGCGCAAAATGTGCAGATTACGTAACGTCTCGTATAAGACTGCGATACTGCACGTTTGGGTTAGTTGAGCGACAGTAGAGGTAATAAGAAATGTAATATCCTCATTTGAATATTCAATGTTGTATTGCATAATTTCTTTCTATTTTATAGCCTGGGAAACAACTGTCCTGTGTCTATGTCAATCAAGGGAGAAGAAGGGTCCTTTTCTCATAGACTTCTATACAATCGGACTTTGCAACCTGTGGAGTTGCCCTCTGCTGACCATTTGAAATGATGCAGGTAAGGGCACTTCTGCATTGGCTATGTTTTTTTATGTGGTTGCCTCTTTAGCTTACCACACTGTTTAACTCATTCCTTTTATTTTTGGTTTTGGAGAGACTTAATTAAAACTCTTAAATGCTATGAACGCTGTAAGGGCATGTAGAGGAATGCCTAGATACGTTTGTTTCGATGATGGACAATAGCTTGGATGTAAAAAAAGAGACTGTGGTGACACAAAAGAGGGAAAGACACGAAGAAAGTAAGACAGTGAAGAAGAGGGAGCATGAATGTTCTTACTGGCTGATCTTCTGCAGTATCTCACATGGGGAATGCCAGGTGATTCTCTCCAGCCGGAGCAGACCAACAGAGAACCACTCAGAAAGCAAGCTCTTCAGCGTGCCGTTCAGGTCCTGGAAGAGAAAAAAATGCAGAGTTTAGAATCTACATCAGCTAAAAATCTATTACAAATTCACCACATTCATTCCTTTGTTGTGACAGCTCAGTAGCCGGTCTGTTGTTTGAATAGAACACTGGTAAGCAGGTACATCTTAATCTATGATAACGATGCATTGGAAAAAAGTATTTGTCATTCTTTTCTATCTCATAAAGTACTCACTAGAAATCGCAGCTTTATATGAATATTAAAATAAGTGGATAAACACATTCATCACAGCCTTATAAACCTCTTTTATGAGAAAAACCTCACCAGTGCCAACTTATTGACTGACAGCCAAGTAACTGCAGTTTGTCTGGCGGCTATAAAGAAATCCTGTACCGTCATCTTACACACTGCGGGGTGTTTGATCCCCTGGGTGTCTGTATGGTCTTTGAATGTTTTCACATTATGAGTTGTGATTTGTTTGAGCTAGCAAAGGGTGTACAGGAGGCACTTCAATAAACAACTTGCCATTTCAAAGCAGGCCTGTTCTCCCACAAAGGTCAGACTTAATTTAAAGCAAATCTCTTGCTAACACACAAACAAGTGCACGGCGTGCATGCACTCAGACACACTCATAACACATAAATACAGCTTATATTGGCTGTTCCATAGTATGACTTCACTCCGGGCTTACTTTAGTGCCGGCTTGTCCGTCATAATAATAGCTAATGCAAACAAGCTCAAGTACAGTCATGCTGTGAAAGCCACTGGCTGAATTTCTCTGCGAGAAACTTTCAAACACCAAAGCTAACAACATTTGAAATTCCTCCCCACGTATATGCATCAATTGCATCATGCTCTGCATTATTCAGCTCTATGGTAGAGAGGTTTCACACTTGAAAATTCTGTTGGGTGAGGAGAAAATCAAAAGTAATACAAAAAAAAGTTCAGCAAAATATCTACTTCTGTGAAGCTGAATGTGTGTGTACGTGTGTTCCTTTAACCTCCCAAGCTGCCTGAGGGGAAATAATCTATGATGGCTGATAATCCCAGCTCGGTATTTCTTTGGAAAACGCAGCGCATAAACAACCCTCGAGAGTGCAGCCCCTGCCTTGGGTAGCCAACTCTCACTCACACAAAAGGAAGGCCGAACTGAAATGTGTATTCCATGGACCTACCAGAAGATGAAGTCTTTTGAAATGGAAGGGGTCTAGCTTTTGAAGCCTGGGGTTAGGAGAGGAAAGGAGGAAAGGGAAAAGAAGACAATCCTGCACTCCATTAGAAAGAAAATGGAGCAATACTTTCTGACACTGGAGCTGTATCAATGCAGCGAGGCTGTGATGCTGTGAGCTGATACAGCCTCTGTTACCTTGAGCTGCAGTTATTTGGTGATTACATAGAGCGATGGAAACTGCAGAGCCTGGAAGGAACACTGTCTATCCAAGGCCAAACAACCATGGAGTGCCAAAGTGATCACAGGTCAAACTCAGAGTGTGCCAATACTTTTACTCCAGAAGGCTGCGTGCCACTTGTCAGCCTGGCAGCCTGTCTGTGGGGAAAAATAGCCTCGCTGATACTTAAATCCCAAAGAGACAACTAAAACAATGTCTCCTACTCAGCTTTACATCTCTCATACACTCAGTTTGTGGAAAGACGATTGAGAATGAAAAGCCTGGAGGTAGAGGGAATGAAGAGGAACGTGAACAAATCTATTACCCAGCAAAGAGAGATTAATCTAGTGTAGAAATCAAAGAGTACCACAACATTTTTCCACCTTGTTAAATCCTAACATTCATTACTTCAGAATAATTAGACCCTCCAGAAAAACGCGATTCTGCGATCGCAGAATTTACCGCATAATCAGCCAAATGGCGCAGATTTTTAAAAAGCCGCATATTTATCAAAAGGCCGCATAATAATCCCCGCATTTTTCCACACAAAGTTGAGAAGAAAAAAAATTAACTCGTCTTGACGTGACGTCATCAGCTCGCGCATCACAGAATGTAAACAACACTGTATAGAGCTCATTTACCAACGAACATTTCTACTAAAGACCGGGCAAAAAGTGGGGGGAAACTATTCTGCACCCCGTGCAACTGTGTGTTGCAGCATAAGAGAAAATCGACGGTGGCGACCCACTTTGATTCATTCAAACATTCGAAAATGCTTTCTGCTGCTGCGGACAAGAAAGCCATTCAACTTCCGTTCACCGAGGGATCAACCTCCAAAACCCTTTCGAGGGCTACAAGAAACGAAGTGAGTAGCCTACAAGATTGAAGCTGGTCAGATAACGAACGAGTAAATGAAAACAGAATGAGGCGGAGAAGTGTGTGTGTGTGTGGGGGTGTGTGTGTGTGTGAGATTAAAATAGCCCAATTGCTTTTACAATAAATAAACATTGAATGTGTTTAATTGAATAGTAAAGGGGTTTAACGTTAGTGGCAGGTTGTGTGTGAGAGAGAATAAATAAGACAGCCCAATATTTAATTTTTTTTTAATTCTTTTCCCCCGCATATTTAGCATATTTCGCAACTTTCCGCATATTTCCTAACTTCCCGCAATTTCGCCGCATAAAATCACATAAAACCCCGCATGTTTAATCGCATAATCAAGGATTTTAGCCCGCATAATCAAGGAATTTAGCCCGCATAATTAAGGATTTTTGCCCGCGTTTTTCTGGAGGGTCTAAATAATGCTATCATATGTTTTGCCCTATATGCTTCTGTGTTAACCTGACCAGTTTTTTTTAATGCAAGTGTTTTCTCTCCCCTAGTATGCATATACAGCCAATACATGTTCTAAAAGCTTCATATTTACTTCAACCTTTTCTCATTTTTAGCTCAATCAATTCTGGCAATAACAAGAAAAGATTGCTGTGCACCCCCAAGACCATTGTGGTCAGCACTCAGTACGAGTACTCGGTGGGTAGCTTAGACCTTTTATAAGCTGCAAAAGGTCTCAGTGGGCCTGGGTTATTGAGATAAAATGCATCTGAACCACCTCTCCGCAGGAATAAAATAAGTATTGAGCTGAAGAGAAGAGGCTAGAATTCCATTGGCAGGGTGTTTGAAAAATCATAAAACACTCTATTCCAAAGCAAAACAAAACTCAAGAACTGACCACAAAAATGACAGAAAACCTTTCTCACCACATGATCAATCAGTCTAAAAACAGCACAACACGATAATGGAAGCCTCCTGAAAATTGGTTCAGGATAATATCAAGCAGGACAGTTCAGGTAACACCATCACTGTTTTTGATAGCGAACACAAACCATTTTGGTATCTTGATTTTTGCATCTCAGCACAACAGCTTTACAAATCTGCATTTCATCCAGTGTGTTTGTGAAAAGTGGACACAGCATTTTAAAAATGAAAGAAGTGGGGTTTGTTTTGGATTAAATGGCCACTCAATTCAAAATGGTGCTCTCCAATACCAGAACAAAGCATCCTTCTTGATGGTTCGTTTTGTTAAACTTTATGTCTACATGTAATGCACATAGGGGCTCCTGCACATGCTGTTGTTTAAATAAAAGGGCTGCTGGTGGCCTGTGACTCACAAATAGCAATTTTCTAGCCGGAAAGCCTCTAGTTCATTTATAAATGCAGCTTCAAGCAGCGTATACTCAGTAGGACTCCAACTTAGAGATTCGGCCCTGAGCATGAACATTAGCCAGAATAATGGTTTATGAACACGGTTATGTAACCTCCGTCAAGCCTAACAAATAAATCATGAGAACATATATATTCTTTATCTTGGGGATAACTAAGTACTACAATGAAGAAAGAAGTTGGTTATGCATCTTATGGTTGGTGTAGTTGTATTAAAAGCTGCTCTCTTATAATGTTAGAATAAAAGTCAAATGATTCTTTATTTTGTTAAGTGAGAATTGTTGCGCAATATCCACGGCACATATTAGACATTACATTGATCTTTGGGAAATGTGCAACCTTTAGATGAGAACGATCAACAGAGTACATTTGTATTCTTGAACAAACTATGTGAATGGAATTCATTTGACAGCAAGCTTTAGAAGTGAGAAGTCCTATATTCACACTTGTATTCTGTGCCTCTACTGCGACATGTTTACATGCTTTAAAAGCTCTCTATTTTTCTCATCCTGCCTGTGGTGCAGAACCTCTTTTCACCCTCTGTCTGAAACCATAGCCCAGTCTGCTCTGATTGGTTAGCGGGCCTGCGAGAAACTTCCTTTGGTGTCAACTTTGGGATTTCAGTCTTTGCAGATCATTAACATTCACAAAAAGAAAAACATACTGGTGGAAAGGGCAAACCCTAATAAGCACAATTCGACCCCCTTAGTTGAATTAAATCCTTTTAAATTATTTGACTGATCAAAGATGAGTGGATGATAATAATACAGGAAAGGGATTTTTATTTGTATGCCAAAGATGTATTTTCACTGCCTTTCCATTCTATTTTATTTCACTTTGTCTTCAGACAAATCAATAAAAACATACATTAGATTCCTGATTCATATTCAAGTTGTCACCTTGTGCTGTAGCAGAGTAACTCTTGCCTCTGTATAGAATGACATATTAGTACTGAGTCTATAATAACATGAGTAATACAGCAAGAGTGGAAGGCAGCTCTTAACGGTGCTTTAAGAGGATCTGTCCAGCCAAGATGAGCAGGAAATGTGAAGGAAGCACTGAAATTAAACTTGGCAGCGACTTGTGCCAACAAAAGCTTGGCCTTATCTATCTGCAAAAGCACCCTGAGCTAAGAGGAAATACATTAAAAGAGCTGACATTTTGATATGCTTTTAGTTTAGTTAGGAAGGTGTACTGGGGCAAAGGGCATTCACACTCAAGCTGTGAGGAAATGTGATCCATGTGATGGGAGCAGTTGTGCCTCCGTGTGGGGTGAGTGGCGTAAGCAGTTATACTCAGCCTTGTGCTAATGCTGTTAAAATATGCAACATAAACTAGTTCTAAATGGCGAAAAATGTGGATTCAGTTATTCAGGCGTAGATGCCAAACACGAACTGCACTTCTTGACTCATGCGAGTACCCGTATAAAAATGTAAACAAATGCATTACCCTGATGTGCGGACTCTCGCTAGCTTTTGATGAGATTATTTCAAGCACATCGGCTCGGAGATCCACCAGAAACTTTACTCCCCCCTCGACTCTGCTTATATGATTCAGCAACTGTTTATAACGGGGAGTCAAACCGTATCGGAGCCTGTCTTCAACTTGCAAAATGGTAGCCAAGTCTCGTAGCTGGGTATCCAACAGCCTCACAGCGAGCTCTGAAAGGTTTTTATGGTCTACTCCAAAGTCCTGCGAGAGCTTTGTGAGAAAGCCAAGTTTATCTTCCTTGTCTAGACTGCTGTAGAAGTGCATAAACTCCAAGCTATTCGACTCAGGAGGAGGAGGGGATTTGTCTCTCGTTTCGTAAGTGGGTAAAGGTGCAACGACCCTCGTCAGTATTTCCTCCATGCCCGTGACACCACCACGAATCGAGGTCGAGTACCAACGCCAAGCTTTGACGTCCGAGGCCTGCAGGGCCGCTTTGAGGACAGCCCGGTGTCGCCAGCACCTTACACTGCTTCGAAAAGCCCAGATAGCAGGATTGGATATCATAGCCAGGAGGGAGCTGAGCTGTCTGTTTTGGACCCGCGACCAGTGAACACGTGAACACACAGAAGGGAACCACTTCCGGGTTTCTTAAAGAGACAGTACAGCTGCCAAGGCAGGTCCATGACGGGTGATATGAAAACACATCAAAACCAGTGTGGCTAGGATAAAGGGAATATATTAGTATATTATATACTAGTATTGTAGTATAAGTGTAACTGTGTGATGGTGTAAAAATTGCCTTATAAAACGAACAAAGAGACTACAATGTACAAAAGCCATCACCCCAATGTGTTGGTCTTGGTCAACAGATTTTACTTGATAAGAAAAAAAAAACACAAATACCTTTACATGATTATAGTTAGTACATTCTAAAAAAGGCTTGTTTAAAAATATTACTTGACTTTTTGTTAGTCAACTAATATGACTTGTAACAAACAAATATAAAGATATATGAATTGAATGTACATTTTGTAAAACTGAACAATATTTGTTGTGTTTAGCTTTTTTCTTCTTTTTTCTTTTATTCATCTGAGTAGAACATCTTTGACTGAATACAAATATATATTCAAAAAACTGATTTATACAAATTATAACTATGAAGAAAGTGAATGGAATGTTGTGAAATAAAAGATCATTTTTATTTTCATGTGCCCATGTTGTTGTTTATGTATTGATAATTTTAATGTGTTCTATTCCACAATCCAATACCTCTGAAGAAATCAACAAATAATAATTTTGTCCCATGACAAACTGACCTAAAACATACATTTTGATGGCAACTGACACAACAGGAAGCACTTGCAACAGTGCAACAACACTTGTATGGTTTGTTTTATTAAACATATTTTTTATTTCAACAGACAACGTGATGGGAACACAGGTTTCTCATCTGAATTACAATTGTTGGCAATTTCCCTCATTGACGTTCATGTATCAAATACTTTTCTTTGATTTGAAAGATGGTGAATCATAATATATGCTCATTGGTGTTATTATGTTAGTCGACTTTTTCATTTGAGTAAGTATTACTTATTACGCACTGTGGAATATCACTCAAAGCAAAGGGAAAATAAGATACATAATGATGTATGACCACACCCATCACCACTATGCCATCATTATTATTTTTTTATCTTACAACTCAACATTAATGATGTGTTTGCATTTGCTTGAGAAGTGCTGCCAGCTCATTGTCTTACATATTTTTTTATTTTTGAAATCAACCTGAGTTGTGTTTTTGTATTCAGCATCAGACACCCTGCTGGGCAAGTTAGTTGAATACACATTTGTATACTACATCAATGTTTTACTATGTAGCTCAAGATTAGCTCCTAGTAATCTAAAATTCATTACAGAGCAAATAGATTATTTTTCAATGGCATTTTGATGTGTCTTATAAATTATTCCTGTCTGTGGGAAAACAGTAGACTCTGTCTATAGAAACAAACTGTACTTCAAAGTGGCAGTTCACCTAGTAGGCCTACACACAAGACATCATTCTGTCAGCACAGGTCACATAATCAGACTGGTAACAAAATACGCTGTAACACTACCCAACCTGGCAACCCCAGAAGTTCCTCAGCCAATCAGCGTACAGCTGGTATTACGTGTGCTGACAATCAAGTGGACCGCCTAAAAAGTTTGTATTTTCTATGAAATGTAACGCCAGTCAAGATTATTTGGCGGCATTGTAGTTGGTGAGCAAATTATATGATACTATTGCGATAACATTTATCAAACTAGCCATACATATTTCGCCAAAGTGAAATAGGGGAGCTTTGCTTTTAGCTATCCTGTTTTAACGTCTCTGAGTTAATGTGTGCTAGCTAATTGGCTAACTAGGAATAGCCAAAGCTTTCAGAACGGTTATTTTGTCATATTGTCAACTAATTTCCCTCCAAGTGAATTTCCTTCAAACCACGTAATGTTCACTGCTCTTTACAAAGGTACATGTACGAGATGGGACAACATAAGGGCACTAAAGGAGGAGGGAAGCCCAAGCAAAAAGCAACGAAGCAGCAAAGGCTAAGTGGTAATGACAGCGCTGGTGCCGTGGGAGATGCGATCAAGAACAGGTGAGTAGTGTGTGAGACGGTAAAGATGGATAGCTGAATGATATGCTGACAAACACACTTCAGCTAGCACTTACTCATTAATCAATCAAGTGTCATTATAAAATAAATTACCTGTATAGTTACCCTTTCATAGTTGTCAAGCTAGAGCAGCTCACTAATAATATATGAATATGACCTGACTGCAGCATCTGTTCAGCCTCAGCCAAGGCCAGACATCAAAGCAGTTTTTAGCAATGATCCTGCAAGCAGCATTGCCTTTCGTGTTGTTGAAATGTGGAAACAAGTTAATTTTGATTTAGAAAATAAAGATAAATCAGATTGGAGTTTGAGAAATAAGGCATTATGTGTTATCAAAGGAGACAAAACTGTTTTTGAGAGAGAGTGCTAAGTTGGCTGAGCTGTCAAGAGGGCCACTGGCATGACTGCATGCATTAATTTCACAGAGTACAGTGGGTACTCCATCTTCATATGAATACATTAATTTACCTTGATATCTGATGCGTTTATTACCATGCATATGTGAGCAGACAAATTAATGTGGAGTGATCTGTCATTGGGTTGTGTAATTGATGAGAGCAGGGAGATGAATAGACACCTGTAAGCGCTCCTGGCAGCAGAGCAGGCAGCTTTGTGTGACGGCTCGCCTCTTGTTATTTCATGGCACACTGACTGAATTACTGATTAAGGTTCAACTTATACTTATCAGCTCTGAGACTCAGGGAAAACATTTTCCTGAGCGTGAAAGGGCGTCTTGCTTTTAAATGCTGTACTGCCTTAGTGTGATGCTCCAAACTTAGAATTCTGAATAAAAGTAACGTAGCTGGGGAATAACGCTGTTTATCTTCCTGTTATATCTAGCCCTGAAGGGTGGGAAGGTCGAACTGAAAAGAAATATGTTAAGATGTACTCAGATGAGATGTACTTTATACATCTTCAGAACGGGGACCTATCATGCAAAATGCACTTTTGGACGTCTTTTATACATGAATATGTGTCCCCGGTGTGTCAGGGAACTCACCAAGTGTCATAAAACACAATCCTCTCTCTTTTCCTCCATACCCAAATCTCTAAAAACGGGGCTGCAACGATTATTATTTGAATTTTTCTGACGTCAGAAAAGGGGTGCTCCGCCTATATGGGCAACTCTCCACCTATTAGGGGAATGAGAGACTGCTCGAAGGCGCTGGAGATGCTGTGGTACATATGCCAGGCCTTTAAGTGGCGCTGTAGTCTGCCACAAAAGCAGAATCAGCCCTTGCAAAAACAGGGCTGGAAAAGAGCTAATAGAGCGAAATGAGGCATGGCTAAAATGCAGGATCTGTTTGGTAGTTTGAAAAAAAAACTTCACAGACATGTTTTATATAGGTATGGCCCTACAATATATGTTTCCAATATAGCATAATAGGTCCACTTTAAGATGGATCCTCTGAGACACCACTTGTGAGAAGGCTGGCATCTCATAGTGTTGTCTTACTCGAATGATTTTAACCAATATATGACCAAATGCTCTACCATGAAAGTGAAAATCCACCAAATCTTATGTGGACTTCAATTTGGTGTTGATATTAAATCTAGTCATTTGAAATAATGCATACCGTGATGCTGATTCTATAGAGTTGTGTAGGACAGAGTACTAAAACCCTGGAAATTAACTAGCGTGAGAGATCCCTTTTTGTTATTTGGAGACTTGAAATCTTAAGTTAAAATAGCCTGTTCTTCCTTGCATCAATTAGGAAAAATTAAGTCACATGAAGGCACTGTAGGAAAAACAATATCTTCCACAGCTGTTAAATCAGCTTTCTGAGTCAACACAGCACACACTGAGGAGCTTATGCTTTAAACACATACATGTACATTCAAACGTATTGGACATCCACTTGAAAAGTGTCTACATTTCCCTTTAAGCTTACACTTTACTGTAACTAAGTTAGGGGCCTTTTTTCTGTCATGTCACAGTTAAGAGGGAGAGCTTTCTCCTCAGTCATATTTCTCTTTACTGCTGACGTTCTGCATTACTAACAACTTTTTCCCTTAATCTCATTTTCATGCCTGTCCAATCTTGACATCCTGATGAGCAGTGCAAAGTCACCCAAACCTACACATAAAGGTGATGATGAAAAGTCTCCAAAGAAGGTAAATCAAACATTTTCTTCTCTTTTCTGCACACTACACAAAGTTGGATGTCGCTAAATCTGACCACATGATCCTACTTAGTCCGAGGCCAATTTTGTACATCTTGATGGAAATGTGGTGTCATATTGACCAGGGTAGGGTTGTGATGTCCATCCATAACTCGTGCTCTGTCTGTAATTAGCACCAGGGTGAAGATTCCTGCCCCAGTTACCCACTGACCCCAGCTCAGAGCGTCATAGCTGCAGTTTGTTCAGCAGCTTGTCATACTATATTACCCCTCTGCTATTATAGACCCCCATCATTCGTAGGGAATATTTACATGCATGCCAGTACCAGGAAATAGGGATGTTATGATCTTACTGAACTAAATTATTCCAGCATTCTGGATAATTACAGACTTCATGTGTGCATTTGTTTATCAACAACTATTTCTAACACAGGCCATAAACTACCTTTGTTCATTTCGTTGCATTACAGTTGTGCTGTGTTTAATGTAAAGCATGTCCTCCCCTCAGGTCAAGTCACCTAAGACTGAACCTGTGGAGTCAGCCAACGGTCCCAGGTAGGGATAAACTCATCATACCAGTTTATAAAAGGCAGGGTTCGTACGGGTGCTGGCAATCCTTGAAAATGCTTGAAATGTTATGAGGTGTTTTCAAGGTTTGAAAATTGCTTGAATTTTGGGAATGT